TGGAATAAAAAATATGGGGTGTCTATTTACATTTAGTTAAAAGTGGCTGTAAAACATCAGCTCCAGTGGCGCAGATGGATAAGTGCTTGTCGTTGGCTTTTTGACTCGATTGACCCGGGTTCGGTCCCGCCTTTTGCCGAACTTTTTTTTTCTCCCTTTTCAAATCTCGTATCACATCGTAAAGGCATTTATTTTCAATAAAAATGAAGGAAATAATCAAAAAGTTGAAAATAAAGTATCGGGTAGGGTTAGGGTAGGTGTAGGGAGGGCTTTATTGTACCAATAAGGTGGCATCCATTTAATAATTAAAATTAAAATTATAATTTACACAATACGTTATTATTGCATACTGTTTTATAATGTACTACAATACTGAAGTGCAGATAATTGCCATTATTTGCAACAAGTAGTATACTTGATAGTAGAAATCCTGCTATTTTAACAGTGTAAATAGGTATTTGCACTTAGTGTAAATAGCATATTGCTAAAAATACTGCTATTTTCACTTAGTGTAAATAGAATCCATTGCTAATACAAGATTTGAAAAGGGAGGGAAAAAAAAGTTTGGCAAAAGGCGGGATCGAACCCGCTGTCTCAAACTATACCTACCTCTTCCGGTTTGTCTGATGTCTCGTCGTGTCTTCTGACTTGTTAATTTGTTTTCGAATTTGTCATTGTGTTTTCTGACTTATTATAATGTTTTCTGAATTGTTGTTGTGCTTTCTGAATTGTTATTTTGTTTTTTAGACTTGCATTTGCGTTTGTAATTTGTTATTTTGTTTTCAGAATTGTGATTTGTTTTGCACTTCTCGGCCACCATACATTTGGCCCTCACAAGCATAGCTAAACAAGTACACGGATCATAACAATAGTTTGATCTCAGTTTGACCACCGTAGTTTCCAAAAAGTTGCACAGGGATGAAAATTGCACCATCGAGAGTGAGAAAGAGGGAGAGAAAAAAAAAGTCAAGGCCCCAATTTTGGACTACATCTACCCTCCTAAAATTCATCCGCTTGATGACAGAATACACAGCATGTAGTGTAATGCATAGTAGGTTTTTGTGGGACTCATCTAGTATCCACACACAGTGATGGTAGTAACGGATTACATGTAATCTGGATTACATAATCAGATTCCAAAAATTAAGTACTTTCTATAACAGCCTACTGCATATATACATTCAGAAAGTATCCCAGTTTTGTGGACATTCACACAAAGACCAGTCATTTGCCCTAAAAACTGAGAGGCCACACAGCATTTGACCACTGGATTTACAAAAGTAATTTAAATTCAATCAATTCCAAGAAGGATTTTCTCAGCATTTCAATACTGCATCTACTACTAATAAACAAACATTCATTTTTATTTGAATAATCACTGTATTACAGTCTTTGGAAGGCTTTTGTCTTTCAAACACATTAAAATGCACAAATTCATGTTATTTCTTATTTACATGTAAAGCAGGGATTCCCAAACTTGTTTTTCAGCCAAACTGCTTATTGACTTGAAGTCCACCCTGAGATTTTAAGCTAACAAGTTAGTAATTAAGTAACAGTTCTCTGACATTGGCTAACGCTCACATGACATGCACGTAAATACAACATTTTTTCATCTCTTTCTGTAAATATTTTTTGATTGCTGTTATTTTAAAATGATTTAATTTCAGATTTTTGTGATTTAATTATTAGCTTTTCATTAAACTCACAAACCCCCCAGCTTTGACAAACACCAGTTTGTTGTAATGTTTATTATACACTTCACGTTGTTAATAACAATGAATGGAACACCTATTTTCTTTCACATACTGCTACATGGAATGCATGCAATCCTTAATTCTGTGTTTTATGTTCCTACAGCTAAACAAAACTTTAAAAATAACTTAAAATACAGCGACAGAGATAAGACCATTACTATACCTCCAGATTCCAATGCATAGTCCACCAGACCAGTGCGGTCTTCAGAATAAAGCTTCATCGCATTGTTGACAATCAACTGTACATGCTGTGGAGAAACAAAACACAAAAGTAGCATTACTATATGCTACTGTATCTGACTATACAGAGTTATTCATTTATTAAAATACTCAAAAGTTCTTAAAAGCTTACTTCCTCAGAGAGGCCTGCCTCCCCTGTGGCTTGTCGTACAGTTTGGGTGATCGTCTCTTTAGAAGGTGACTGGCCCTCCTCTACCTGAAGGGACAGGTTACCCAGAATGCTGTTCTCCAGAGTACTGAGCGAAGCCTGCATTTCAGTGGTGCTCACAAAGTGATCAGAGAGCCACTGCAGGAGAGATTTAGGAAGCTCCAGCTCTTCCGCTCGGTCACTGCCATAAAACAGAGACCTGATTTCCTTCTCCACCTGCTCGGACACCTGTGAAGAGCAGATCCAGCAGTTACGAGATTTTGTTCAAACAGATGGAGAAAATCTGGCTTTTGGTATATTCAATTCCCTTTTAGTTGTCATCTTATATTATCCACTTTTATATGTGGCTGCAAACATCAGGACTGTGGTCTTCAAAGCAGAGGATTTTCAAATTCTAATAATCCTGCCACATTTTCAAAAGTTCTTTTTCCCCATACTAAAAACTATGCATTTTTTATTTCTTCCAGGTTAAAAAAAGATCCAAATGCTTTATAAGGGCTAAATAAGGGCGTTAAAATGTCAGGTATGAAAACGAGACCCTGCAACCACTACAGATGATGAACAGATGGCAACAGAGCACGTACTGAGATTGAAAGGGAGTCCAGCTGCTCACACTTGTCTTTGCATCCCATCAGTCCCTGCACATCATCTCTGATGCGCTCCAAAGTCTCCTCTAGCCGCCTCACCTCTACCAGCAAATCCTCACTGGAGCTGCTCTCAGCCTCCTCACTGAAGAGATCAGACAAATTATAACATCAGTTAACATGAAGTACCAGGAATATTACTTTAATGAATGAGACATCACTATCACTGTTGACCCTTTAAACCAGATTAAACAATAATGACCTGTGTGGATCAGGGGCGGGCGCCTCAGCCTCAGGAATCTTTTTAAAAGCAGGCTCTTGTTTTCTTTGCAACTCCTAAATTAAAAAAAAAAGTCAGTCAGACAGCAGAATTTGCTCAAATTACTTGTTTGATTACTGAAGTTATAACATTCAAAAAAGCAAGTGAACTTTGGCCCAAAGTTAACTCACATCAGTGGTTTTTCAATACAAAAACAAAATCCTGCATGCTGATAATAATGCATCTTGTGTGTTCATAGTACAATTTGAGTGTCGCACCTCAGTTTTGCATGCTAATGTTTGAAGGAGAGCCTCAGCTTCAGCGAGTCGAGTATTCTCTGACTGATGCTCTTCTGCATGCTTTTCCTGACGCTGCAGACAGAGACAGAAAATTGAAGATTAGTTATAAAGATATTACATCATATATTATTGATAACATGTCAACAGATGCTGTTAAACTGGGAACTAACTAAAAACAACCTGAGCCCCCAATATTCATGAATCCGTATTTTAAATGTTAATCACAATTTCTCTCAGTGACTCATGTTTGCATGTTCATTTCAATTCATACAGCATATCTGCCTTAGCTTTTCTAAAATGTTAAGTCGTCCACGTCATTGTCAATTTTGAAATGATGAGCATTTACTGATTAATGACTGCTACTGAGTCTAAAAAGCATTGCATTTAAAAGAGTGGTTATTAAAATTCTAGTAATAAAAAAAACCAACAAAAAAAACAGACAATGTGATATCATCACCTGTTGCGTGTCCTTGGCCTCTTTCTGCACCTCGCCTTTCAGCATTCTGAATCTCTCCTCCAGCAGGTCTCCAATCCACTGGCCCAGACTCTCTCTGTCTGTGCGACTGTGAAGCTCTGAGCGCAGCGTGTTATACAGACTGAGCACTTCAGTGTGCTGCTCCTCCTGCCTGAGCAAACCCCCCGTTACTCGATCCCACAGCTGAGACAAGTTGTCCTCTAAACGCATCAACCTCTCTGCCTCTACTGATGATGACGACAGAACTGAGGGCCTCTGGGAGGAGGGAGACATAGTATCAGACAGTCAACTTAATATTTTTGCATTGATAGAAAGTTAGTTAATTTAGCAGGCTACAATAAAGTAATAATATCCTGAAATGTAAACACTACCTGAGTGTTTGTGTCAGGGGAGGATTGTCCCTCCTCTGAGTCACGCATGGAGGTGGTTGAAGGGGTGACGTAGGAGGCGTCCTTCCACACCATCACATTAGCAGAAGGCAGCATGGCTAACAGTCCAGACGGCCCCCAGTAGCACAGATCTATTAGAAACAGCACAGAAAAAAAAAACACATGAAAAAAAATTACGATGTAGGATCTTATTTCCATTTAGACCTATAGTCAGTCGTGAACAGCAAGCTCACCAAGAAACAGAAGGAAAGGTACAAGAAATAGGACTTTCGAAAGCATAGGGAGACACCTGAAAGAGAGAACAAGGACAGCTTAAATTTTGTTTGTCATCATACTTTAACACACTAGCAATGCTCCAATTATGAAATTAACCAGTTAAGTTTAAGGACTGTTGATTTAATGAAGTCAAATTTATTTGAATAGCACATTTAAGTACACGCATCGTTTTAAAGCAGCTTTCAGAAAGTTGTACTGTTATATCAATAATGCCTTGCCATAGAGCACGTTTTTGGGCTGTCCAATATAAAACAATGATACAAGTTATCCTACAGATTTTAAATCTAGTTTTATTGTATTTATAGTGAAATCTGAGCATTCAATGCAACTTTTTTTTTTATTATTATTATTGGTATCATGGTAAAGATTTTGGTTGAAAATTACTACCAATTTAATGAATCAGCCGTTAACTAACTATTATATAACCACACTGGACATGCATTGGACACTGATAGGTACAGAAAGAATCAACTGGAAAAGAGAGCAAAACTCACTTTGAAAAGAAATCGACAAGCCACAAGAAGCTTCCTGAGGTTGTCCTCCCTAAAAATAAAAACACACACACACAGAGAGTAAAGAGTGAGTAAAGACTGACTGTGGATTAGCACATAGCAGGGTTAGGGTGCACAGCAAGAGGTCACACACACACACCCAAGAGATTTGCAAAAGCTGACAAACTGCACATTTTTCATCTTGCAGTAATCATCCTGTTTAAAAAAAAAAAAAAAAAAGCGGCCTCCTAAAATTTGAGTAGATGACATACAGTAGGGTCCAGAAATCTTGATACTACTAGTGAAAAGGCCTCCATTTAGCATTTCTTTACATTTAAAATTAATATAATCGGAGTGAAAAGGTGATAAATGAATTTAACAAACTGCACGTGTTATTTGGTATGCCCAACTTTTGCTTTAAAGGGCTCATGTTATCAAATGATTAATAAAACTGAGGAATCAAATTTTCCTTTATCTTTTATCTTTACTTTAACTGCTAAAATGCCTTGTTCTAAAATGGAGTCTGAAATCAAGGGACGGATCAGTTCAAAACTCCTTGGAGATGAAACCAGCGATGCGCAATTTCTCATTTCACATGCAAAAAGGCCGTTTACATAAATGTCTTATAAGTAAACAGGTCCTTTTTGCTGTTGTGCCATTTAAGGATCAGACAGAGGGTGGAAAAATCATCATAAAAACAAAAAAAAAACAACAACAACAAACAAACAAACAAAAACCTGTGCTTCAATGAAAGAAAATCTGACAATCTGGACAAGAGGAAAAAAAACAAAAAAAAACAAGGTCAACGTCACTAATTTGCTTACATTTGATTACGGACTTCAATAGTGCAGCATATTGAATATCTCTTCATTTTCAATATATCTCCGATTGTGGACCCCACTGTATCTGTAAACAAGAGCTACATCAGGACTATTGCCTGAATGTGTTGAATGTGCCTGAACAAAAGGAGATGCATGTCAAGAAAACTCCACCCCAAAAAAATAAAATAAAATAAAAAATAAAAAATAAAAGTTCCTGGGAGCAAAACTGGAGGAGAAAAAAATATATATATTACATGCATACATAAATAAAAGAGTTATAATAACTACAAATGAAGAGGAAAGAGATTCCCACATGGAATCAGAGCCACAGAAAGTTTAAGGAAGAGAAAAGGAAGAAATTGCAGGTCATGCAAGGTCATCTGAAAGCTCTTCACCGAAGCCCACACCTGCCAGGGAACAAACTGCCCTGACCACAACCCGAGAACCATCAATGCAGGGAAGGAGCTCACAGCAGCATTAACTGGCTTGCCAACTATTTCCAAACCAGAAGCTCTTAGAATGACCAAGACTGAGGGTAAGTGATGAGTATATAACCTGTAGAAACTATGAGCCACCATAAGGTTCCTATAGGCTTCTCTTCCTGGGAAGACTGAGTGTCCGTTGCAAAATTATGCTTCCTTTTGCAGTCATCACCTGTTAGAATCAGTGTATGGTCGAAAATAATTAACCGGTGTGTTAAAGTTCTACTTCTACAGCATGTGCTTTTAATCTTGCCATGACAGCCACCAACGTAGACATTTTTAAACAGATGCTGTATGCAGAAGTGTGCACACATTGAGTCTGTACTGTACATCTACTAGACCAATCATTTATGAATCATTCTGCTATTATTCATGAGGTAGTGACTGTACTGCAGCCTCCTTCTAAAGGTAGGTTTCAAACTAGGCTGCTGAAAAACTGATTGACAACAACACAGATGAGTAGACAATGGGGTGGCAGATGGCCGTTTAATTTGTATTTAAATCTACACATATATACACTGCAGTGCAAATCAGATCCCTTACACTAGGCAATAAATCAATCACCAATCCTACTTAATTGGAACCACATAAGTGGCCAATTACAGTGTTATAAAAAAAAGCACTGTTTATGTGAAATGCACAGGTGATTTTATGTATTGATTATAATTTTATGTAATTTTGAATTTTAAAATCACCGCAGAATGCATATGACTGCCTTTTCAATGAAAATATGCAATACTGCCATACAGTCTGACCAAAGACAGGTACTTAAAGGCAGCATGATTAATTAGCACAATTAAAAGGATAACAGACTTAAAAAAAAAATTTGAGAGAGATATATATATATATATATATATATAAAATTCTGTCATCACTCTCCCGCACGTTGTTCCAAACCGGTTCCTTTTTCCTTATAGTACATAACTTTAAATATCTGAAAGTCAAGTATGTGTACTTACACAATATGCCGCTAATCTTCGGTTGTTCCTTTTGCAGCACTACCTCTTTAACACTCATACTGCTGTAGTATTTCTCATTGCCTATGACGAAAAACAGAACAAACAAAAAACATAAGATAAAACCAAGAGTCCTTCGCAATCCTGTATCGGTCTTCTCCATCCCTCCAATCCGAGCTCTGCACAGACAGACTCCAACAAAAGAGATTTGCATGTAACCAAGGCAGTGCTCATGGTGGACAGGCGCATTTGTTTATGCACAGTGTAATCGTGCTTCGAAGAAACATCTGGAAGGGGAAAAAAAAGTTAAGTTATAGTGGCTGTAGGAAAGAATGGAGGTCAAACACCATGGAAGAGACTAAAGCAGCTGGTTAGTGATAGAGGGTGAGAAGGGCTTATCAGTTATGGTGGGGGTTATCAGCTTGTTCAGGTGTAATAGGATAGCTGAAGATGAGTTACATTTGCCACTCCTGAGACAGACTTTCACTAAGGGACTGAATTTACAAAGACAGAAAGGTAGAGACAGGTGCTCAAATGCAAATCCTGAAGAAGAAGAGAAAAGAAAAATAGTTTAGTGATTGTCACACAGGGTCCTCAACCAGAAACAGATCTGCAGCTAAAGCAAGAGAGTTCCAGTATTTTTTTTAACTGGGGAAAGTAAAAAACGATTTTCTTAGTAACTAAAGTTAATATAAAATTAACTATTATTTACCATAAAAATCAACATGCCATGGAAATCAAGTAGTTTTAAACATGCAACGTCTGTCAATTTGTAAAAGTACTTGAATTATGCACACAGCTCATTTTCAGGCCCACTTTGTATCCTTTTCATGAAAAGTGCTGTATATATTTTGCTTACCAAGTACAGAGGAAAAGTGATGGTCATTTTTACTAAGGCTACCAGTGTGAATACTGGTGTTCATATGGTGCCATAAAATAATAATAAAATGGGCTCAGTGGCATAGATGCACTTCACCTTTAGGGTGACTTGAACATTATTATTAATATAAGACCACTGTGATAAAAACCACTTACTAACCTGGTTTACGGACAGTTATATCCGTTATTGCAACTTCAATTTCAAGACGACGAAATGCCGGTAAACCAGGTATCTTTTGAATGATTCCTGCAAGGATACCAGAAAGGGGCTTTTTACATCAGGGCTCCTCAACTACACTTGTTTTGAGGGCCAGATTATTAGATTATTCTAGCCACAAATGAGCCCCGGTCCAGCATTTCACATCATTGTTTGCTGCAAACAAATGTGTCAGTCTCCGATCAACAGCCTAGTTAAGAACTAACAAACATTTCTATAAAACCTAGAACAAAATAGCCCCAAAAATTCCCTAAATTAATGATTTTCTCTTGAAATGACTTGAAGCGTGACATCATGAGCGTAATGAGCTCCAATGAGTTCAAGACTTTTAAGATGAAGCTATTGTCTGTTTCTGGCTGTTTGTACAGTGTGCACAATAGTTTGGTTAATAAGTGGACATAATATCCAGGCACCAGAGGGTCTGAGAGAAACCAATACCTCCATTAGCACAGCCATTTGTGGCTCTCTTCTGCTGCACAGACCGCATTGTCTTCCTCAGCACAGTGACTGTGAAGTGAGCGATTCGCTTACACACTCGCACACACCACTGCAACACTGATAACAGCAGGTCTAGAGAAACATGGACTGATATTAAATCAACAAGATCTGACGATCAAAGATAAAGTGATGGAGTGGTCAGGACAGACTGTGAACAGAGACAGAGAGAGTGACAGTGGTTCTGGAGAACATCTTTACCCAACTGGCTGCTTTGCATGCATGCAGTGTGTAGCTCCTAAAATCCAAATCCATTCAAACATAAATATCCAGACTGTATATATACTTAATGCTGCAGAGATTAAATAAGAGTTACCCATCCTTGATATCTACTGAGATGTAAAAAGAAACTATGGAAAATGTTACATATTGACACTGTAATAGAGAACCTAATCTGAACATGGGCTAGTTTCAGGGTCTGACAGTGAAAACATGCTGAAAAGAAAGACTCCCAAACAGTCAAAAACCATCCAGTGAGAAACCCCACAGCCTGGAGAGGTGAACGACAGACAAACCAAGGCTGATACCTTTGAGCAGTGCCACCTGCATCAGTAGAGTGCATATGTACGATACAAATGCAGCGATTCTCCTTCTGTTATGAAGGCACGCCTCAGACAACATCCCCATCACACCTGCAGACACAATGAAGTCAAGCCTGCACTTTCCCTTCAATAATACTCAGCATCCAAAGAACGGAAGCACTCTGAGAGGCTCTTTTCTGGAGACCAAGAGAAACCCGACCACATCATGTAAGGTGTTTGACATGGCAGGAAAAGGGGGAAACTGCAGCTAGGCAACACACCACTTTATAGTGCATTATCAAACTGTCTCACCTGGCTTATATCTGCGATTCTTGTCCCTGCAGTATAATGTAGTGTTTGGAAAGGAGGCTGTGCTGGGTGTCTCTGTAAAAGACGCCTGATGCCCAGTAGCATTATGAAGGGAACTGTTGTCCTTGGAGGGAGAGGTGATGGAGCAGTCTTTGCAGCTGTAGCCGTTCTGTGCTGTAGAGGTCTGCGTTTTGGCCTCCACTGTGCTGTGGTGTGCAATTATAATCTGGTCTAAAATAAAAAATCCAATAAAACTATAATAAATAAATATAAAAAACAAAAACAAAAAAAAACCCTTACTGAACACTTACCCTTAACATCACGGTCTTCATCCAAACCTTAAACAATTCAAACAAATAAGACATTTAAAAATTAAAATAAAAAATAAAATTACAATCAATGCTTCAGCTGTCCACCAATCTCAGTATATTGCAACTCAGAGTATCATATTGTGGTGATCACGAAGGTGTGCTGGTACTGACCCCAGAAGCGGTCAACTAGGGTGCTTTCCTGTATGGAGGACTCATCTAGAAGAGAGGACAGCAGAGAGGCGTCGCTGGGCGCACAGCTGTTCAGAGTGCTGTTATGGGCCTGTAGGATCGACGTTGAGGCAGACCTCGGAGTTTGAAAAATCTGTGTTGTCCCTGAAAGAGCTCTTCTGCTCTTCGGTGTCCTATAAGACAGAGACAGAATAAGAGAAGAGGGGATGGAAAACATTCTTGATACCTCCTTCCATTTAGTTAATATTCTTAATACATTGAAGCTGTATTATTATTTTTTTTTTAGGACAAGTGACAAAGCTGGAATACACTACACAACTTTTGCCAAATCTTATACACAAATGAAGATATTTTAAAGAATGTGGGTAACCAAACAGCTGTTGGTCCCCATTGACTTCCATAGTATGGAAAAAAAAAATACTATGATAGTCAATGCGAACCAGAAACTGGTTACCCACATTCTTCAAAATATCTTCTTTTGTGTTCAGCAAAAGAAAGAAACAAAGAGTAAATGACAACATTCGTTTTCAGGTGAAGTATCCATTTAAAGGGGTCCTATTATTCCTTTTCACTTTTTCATCTTTAGTTAGTGTGTAATGTTGCTGTTTGAGCATAAAAAAGATCTGCAAGGTTACAAAGCTCAAAGTCCACTCCAAAGGGAGATATTCTCTTTAACAGAAAATAATTAACTACAACAAACGGCTGGTAAGGACTACAACATGCTTCCCCCGGATATTGTGAAGTCACAATGCCACTCATTTAAATAATTCCCGCCCACAGAATATGCAAAATAGGGGGAGGAGGCATGATTGAGCTGCACCACAGACTGTAAAAACAAAAATAAAACAATAAAACATAACATTCTGAAACTTCCCATAAAATCAGTGCTTGCAAAGGTTCTGCATGATCCTCTTGTTTGTAAACAGTCTCATGTTCTGAATCGGGCTTAAATTGGTATGGCAAAATTTACAGCCAAGTAGATGAAGTTTGTGGTTATGGTAAGGGGCGTGACATTTCCGGAACACGCTCTAAACGGTTCGCCAATCACAACACACTGGGCCAGCTAACCTCAGAGCAGATTTAATATGTTGGAAGGAAAGGCATAATAGGACCCCTTTCATGATCCCAAGAGGCAAGAGGACCTCTAGTGGACATATAAGTAGCTGCATCTGTGTGTGGCTAATTCAGCAACTGCATTAGATTTCAGTTACTTGGCCACTGGGTCATATGGAATAAATATATATTTAAGTAACTTAAATTGTAGCTTTTCTCTGTCTTCTACACTTTTAGTTAATCATTTATTTTGTCAATTCCACCCAACCTTTATGTCAACATTAAAAGTTAAAAAAAAAAAAAAAAAGCATTTGGTATTATAATATGGCAATAATGGCCTAATTCTTGCTAAACAATCCCCTGCTGATTTTCATGGACATACTGTACTTACTTGTCACAGCTGAGGGGGGCGCCGTGGTGAAGAGACGGGTCAAGCAGACTGTCGTCTCCATAGTGACTCGTGCTGGTGTGCAGACGGAGACTACGCCTGGACATCCTGGGCGACTCGTAGACGGGCCCAATCCTGAGCTCCCTCTCAAAGCCTTGTGCTGAAGAGGAATAGCTGGAACTAATGGAGACAAACAAAAAGCACTACTTAAGACAAGCTACCATTATTTTTCAGTAAACACACAGCTTATGTAGTTGCAGGTTTGTTGACTTCATTACGGTTACATATCACTTCAGCAAATTATTTCAAACATCCATTTACAACCTACAACAGCAAAAGACACCACAAACACACTGACCAAGCAAACAAATTACTGATAAAAATGCCAAATGACCTTTTATCATCAATGGAAAGCACGTTTTCTTCTGCTCTCTGTATGTGCACACACACACACACACACACACACAGAAACTTGTGATAACTTCACCTCAACTTTATCAATAAGAGTTTCACAGCGGTAAAGCAACATTACTGCTTTTGGAGAAGTTAAACATACAGCTTTGTTAGAAGTAGAGATGTAGCCAACAGACATTGCTGAGAGATGCACAGCTTTCACACTTACTTTCTCTGACAAACCTGACAAATGTCTAGAAATAAAATATCTAAACAACGTCCTAAGGTGTAGTAACCGTATCTAAAGCCTGGAATACACTAAGAGATTTTTGCCCCGATTTTCCATCTATTTACTGTTTGGAGAAGTTGACGCTACTTGCCAAATATCAGAGGCAGTCTGCAGATTAGAGTTGACAGATTCCACAGAAAATCGCGTAGTGTATGATGGTCACAGACACAGAAAAATACGATTTTTTTTTAGCTTCAGACTTTGATTCCATCCAGTCGGAAGATATCAAACATGTTTGATATTTTAAGCCGATTTTAGAACTAGGGTTGCAAAAAGGTGGAAAATTTCCAGTAAATTTCGTAAACATTCCAGAAATTTTGGAAACTTTCCAGGATTTATTGGAATATTCCAGGGATTTTTGGAAATTTTCCACCCCTTTGCAACCCTATTTAGAACACATGTTTTCATTTGTCACGCGTCTTTTGTTGTGATCGGAACAATTTGAAAGTCTGGTAGTTGGGCTGCACGATAAATTGAAATGGAATAGAGATCGCGATTCGACATGATCAGCAGTAAATCTCCATCCAAAGGCCAGAGGGCGCTCTCATGCTGAAACTCCAAATACGCCTCACAGAAGAAACCCAGAAAATGCCTATAGCTGCAGCTGAATAAACAGAAGATTCAACTGCTTTCATTGATTCAACGTGACTAATAAACACACGACTATGGCAATATACGGTTTATCTGAGTTCTTATACTTTATTTTAATGAAAATTATAATATTTATAATGCAATGCCTTTATCACTGCTTAAATACTATGAAATGTTGCGTGCCTTATTCTGTGTAAGAAGCCACACCATCTCACAGAAGGATTTATTTCAAACACTCGACTGACATTTGTTTCTTCAGTAGAACACAAACTGAGATTTTTAACTCAAACCGTTGCAGTCTGTCATTCCTATAATGGAGGTGAATGGGAATCACGGCTTTGGGTTAAAAAAAAAAAAAAAACCTGCAGCTTGTGACGATACATTGATGTGTAAAGACACAAATCGATCGGTCGGTGCAAGAAACTGAATGGTATTTATATCGTTTTTTTACCTCTGATTCACGCAATGTCCGAACTGTCCTGAGCACGCGCTTTCTCAACAGCAGGCATGTGAGGCATCGTCGTCTTCTTGCTTTACGGCGGATCGCAGACTTAAGTGCATTACTGCCACCTATCTCTCAAGTGGACAATTGACACTCCTAATTGAGATTGTCCCACAGTGACGTAGACATGTGGGGGCGTGTTTAAACGAGGCGTATTAGGAGGGCGTGGACAAGTCTTAACTTTTATAAAGAATAGCTCTTTGGATTTGAGACTTTAGTCTTTGCAACTTTAGGGATCTTATCTATGCACAAACAGCTTGTAACACTCCAAAGAGAAAGGAAAATTTGAAATAGCTTCATATGACCCCTTTAAGTGTATGATGCCTAGCGTTCTAAAATCTATTCAGATTTTAAAAGCTGTAGTGTATTCCAGGCTTAAGCGGAAAAACTGACCAAATTATTTTCCGCTTTGTGTTGTGGCTGCATTACCACCTCGGTATGCATTATTTTTCAAAAATTCAACAGTCCATCATCCATTATTCTTCACGTAATCAAACTGATTGTTTTGGTATAGATCAGAGTGTGACTGCAGTGTTTATATATGCCTAAACAAAACAAACTAAAGAGAAAAAGCACCACGTTTGAAACAAATGGTCCAAACGAGGCAGGTGTGACAACACTCTTAAATAGGGGTTGCGAATACAATAAAATAATCATGACAGTAATATCAAATTCTACATTTGGATTATACCTTGGTTTCACAAAATGGAGTTTGTGAGGGCAGGGGGTTTGAGAGTTAATAAGAAACCAATAATAAAATCATAAATGTAAAATTAAAAAAAAAAACTTGTGCACTACAAAAAAAAAAAGAAAAAAAAAAAAAAAGGGCAGTTACTGAATTGCAAACCCTGATGTAATTTTACCATTTTATAGCAATATTATTATTAAATACTGTATTTAAATTAAAAATAAAAATCTAAATATACAAAACATATTCAGATAATAATAATAATACAAAAATAATTATATTAATAATAATAACAATAAAAACTTAGTGCAAAAAAAAAAAAAAAAAAAAAAAAAAAAAAAGGTGCATGTTATGTGACCTTAAACTGACCAAGAACCATAAACGTGATTTTATTTAAATCTCAAACTTAAAGTAAATATTTTATGTGAAAAGGGTTCAGCTGCATTAAATCCTACATTAAACAAACGGAATACATTTTTAAAGTTAGACCGCAGTTTAAAAACCGCTGCACTAGGCTTTGTGTAGATTTTGAAACACACAATGGAGAGCCCTTCTGTTAACCACTTCATCAGCCAACACCTTTAAATTCTAAATGGCTAAAAAAAAATTCCTGGTAGATCACTAATCAGGGGCTCATAGAACCACAAGTATTAATAATACGAATAGTGATACTTGCCTTAGCATGTGCCACTATGGGTCAGACAAAACAAAAAAAAATTAAATAAAAAAAAACTCACTAAGCAAAGACAAAGTGGAGAGTTTGGTACACATTAAAACTCCAGAGAAAAACTCCAAACCCAAACACTCAACCCACAAAAAAAAAATTAATCCAAGCAATCCAGTAAAAATGAATAAAAAAAACAAACAAACAATGGGTCTGGTCATTTTCCACTAGCTGTGCCCAGCCACCATTTCTAAACTCAAGCCAATGATTCAAAGACAGCACCAACTGCCATCTCTCTATAGGAACAATCCCAACATTAATGTCTGTGAACTTTGGAGCTGTTCTGCTTGCTTGAGTTCTAACAGTGTGACAAAGGACATTCAGACAGCAGCTGCCGAGTAGAACACATGCTAAACAGTAACCCGACAATGTATAATTATCGTCAGCTTACCGCTGTTAAAGTTCCAGCCTTAAATCGATACCAAAAATAGCACTAGCATTCAAGCTAATGCTTTATAGAAATACATCCAAACACAGCTAAAAAAATAAAAGGTATAATACGCACAGCACTGTCCAGCCCCAGCTCTCCAGATCCCATGTGTAGTCACTGGTCATCCCATGAAAAAGAAAAAAAAAAAAATCACATTACTGTACACTTGCGCTCCTACAGTCACAAGGAGCTCTGGATGGATCAAGCGAATTAAGAAGGCTTGCTCTACTTCCTGTGTTCAGCTCCTGTATACGTGACATGTGAGCCACTAAACGTTCCCTGTCCCTCCCTCATTATCCTCAGGATCTCTGTCGCTATATCAATCTATCAAAAGTCGCTTCACTGTACTTTGAACATGGGAAGAATTGCATCTGTAAAAGTGCTAAACAGTAGAGAAGATATCCAGTGTGATGCCCAGTTTACAACCTTGTATTAATCTCTGGTGATCCAATCACATGTGATCACATGGGACACATCACGGTTTACACTTTGCAGTAACATGCAGGAGTGAACAATAATGCTCTGCTGATTGAGGTCAGTGAGCGCATTTTGGGTCAGTTAATGAAACCGTTTTTATGCCTTATTTATGCTAGAAATACTTGAATTTCTGAACGTTTTAACTTTATTGTGAATTCTTCTGAATTAAGTTTTTTTTCTTTGCAGAAATTGCAAGAATGATTGTGATAATCTTCATAAGTTGGCAATAATGCTCATCCAATTTTATTGAAAATTATATTTGAATGTGCAAGACTTCTGATTCATTAGCCTATATATGTATCTAGAAAAATAAAGTGCAGTAACAGTAAAACTATTTGCACTGCATACCAGTGTGTTAATTATACTAAATGAATAAATGATAAACACTAGTTTGCAATATCAAGCAGCATAACACGCTGTTTTTTTACAGGTAAAATAAGGGGAAGCGGTTTTAATCCCATATAGTCAGACTTATTATAGCTGCAATTTCCAGATATTACCTAAAAAAATTAAAAAAAAACTAGGTTTTAATTTGTGAAAATAAATAAATAACTTTTAAAGGGGTGCTATTATGCTTTCACTTTTTCAACTTTAGTTAGTCTGTAATGTTGCTGTTTGAGCATAAAAAAAAAGAGATCTGAAAAGTTACAAAGCTCAAAGTCCAATTCAAAAGGAGATATTTTGTTTAACAGAAATCACTTTTCAAAAACTCCACCGAACGACTCGTTTGGACTACAAGGCATATTTTCCGGGATTTGTGAGATCACAAATATCGACGAATGGGACGAGACCTGGTTGAGCTGCACTAGAGAAGGCAACAAGTGTTATCCGAGTGGTGCCAATCACAACACACGCTGGCTCAGCTAACCAATCACAGCACATTTCGTATTTCAGAAGGCAGGCCTTCATTTGATACAGGAACTATTCGAGCCGTTCATGCCAAACTGTAGGGATGGGCGATACCCCTTATTTTGTTTTCGATACCGATATTTTTCAAGGCAGTATCGTCGATATCGATACTTCTGCACTAAACTTTTAAATTATGAAATTATTCAATTACTAAGAGTAAAATGGGTAATGAAAACCACTTAACTTTGCTTAAAACACATTTTAACCCGTTTAATCCCAAATTTTTCCCAGACATGAAAATATCCAAATGATGTGTCATTAGTAACCCTTTGAAATAATCAATAATTATTTTTCTTTTGGAAAAGTGTGTGAAAAATTTTATTTTATGGTCAGTCACAATTGTAACCGGTGGGATAATGTGTATACTGAATTAACATATTTCTGCAGTCTTAATTTTATATATCGTAGCCCAGCTATTTTAAACTGTTTGATCACATTCTAGGGTTACTATTATGCATAAAAAACCCTTATACAACATTGATAGGAATACTGAGATCAAATACAAAAAAAATACAACCATCAACGTATTTCAAAATTGTTACTTTTTTGTAACATATATCATCACATTTTTATATTAGTGCTACCAGTATTACAACATTAATATTCTAACTTATTTGTAACATTTGAACTTTTGATTTAGTGCAATATTTTGTACTGCCATTAAGGACTGCCAGTGAAAGGCTGTTGCATGCATAAAATGCAACCTTTTTATTCTGACAGTGTATGATTTCTATTAACATTACAGAATAGAACATGATCAATATTATCTTTCAACGTTCAATTTAAATAATTGTAATTGCACAAACTATGTAGGCTACAATTTCAAATTTGTTTATTGTGAAATAACTCAAACATTTATGGGTTTTTTTTTCTGTCCTCTGATAAGCATTGTTCAGGGCTGCCATTCCCAAAAGCTTTAATGCTTTCTTATGATACTTTTGGGAAACGCAGCCCTGTTTGAATGCACTGTCAGCAGTGAGTGAACGCTCTCTGTGATTGATTGGTTCTGTCTTGCAACATTTGCATGTTCAGATGAGCAGGAAAATAGTTCCATCCTACACAATTACTTGCTAACAAAGGTTATTCGTCCAATTCAATGCATATTGTACGCATGATTATTTTTGTTAAACAAAACCACTGGTAAATAAAACGCACCTTAGTATCGATATTTTTTGTTTGAGTATCGATACTCGCGTCAGTATCGATACTTCAGATCGATACGCCCATCCCTACCAGACTGGGGAGAGAGGTGTTGTAATAATGTAAAATATGTGAAAAATAATGTGTTTTTCGAACAACCTAGTATGAGAGACTGTTCTACTACACCCCCAAAACAAAATCAAGACTTTGTAAAAGAGCATAATAGGACCCCTTTAAAAATATTACAAGCAGAATTTTCATTTCAGGTATAATATTCTTTAGACCTCATTTAGCACTCACAACAATAAGTCAAATAATCTGTGGTGACATTTGACCACTAGCTAGAATCAAGCTGACTAAGTGCATAAGAGAAAGTGGCATATCTCTGTCTTTATTGATTTCTCATTCCAAATCAAAGAGTCAGGATTATATGGGTCAGTCCTCAAGTACTGATCATTCTGTCCTGCTGTCGCACCTGGCAACATCTTTTCACACAGTCATACTACAAACAGCAGAGCAGATGAATGGCAGTCAGTGAGTGATCACTGATGCTCCTTCTTGACCTGTCCGGAGCCAAATATGCAATGACAAATAGGTGCAAACCAATTCAGTCTTAAACAACCTCTCCTTCAGTTTGGGAATTCTGACAAGATTTCACATGAAAAAAAAAACAAATACACAAAAATAAAATATATTTAAAAATAATAATAAAAAATTACGTAATTTTTGACTTTTTTTTAAATAAGAAATCTGGGGGAAGAAGATTTAATTTAATGAGTCTAAGAGGCTATCAAGACAGCAAAAGATTCACACTCACATGCCTACTTACAGACAGAGTGAGTGAAATGAATCGAAGTCTATGACTAAGCATTAATACATACATATATATTAGGGCTGCACGATTAATCGCATGCAAAAACTTGTTGCATCTTTCCCAAAAAGACTCATGGCTGTATTAGATCAAAAGGGTGCTTCTACTAAATACTGAGCAAAGGGTCTGAATACTTAGGACCATGTGATATTTCAGTTTTTCTTTTTTAATAAATCTGCAAAAATGTCAACGATTGTGTTTTTCTGTCAATATGGGGTGCTGTGTGTACATTAATGAGGAAAAAAAATTAACTTACATGATTTTAGCAAATGGCTGCAATATAACAAAGAGTGAAAAATTTAAGGGGGTCTGAATACTTTCCGTACCCACTGTATATATATACACATACACATACACATACACCATGGAAAAATATGCTCAGTTACTCATGTCCCCTGTTCTGTTAGCATGAACAGACAATACAGCACCAAGACAGCATGGCTAGCTTCTGTGTGGAGAGGAGGGTGTGTGTAAAATCACACACAAACTCTCATGCACTAACGTTACCTATAGCTGTGAAATTGCAACAAGCTTACGGTTTTTCACATAATGCAGTGTGGATACATTTCAGATATATCAATACGAGAAATGATATACAGTCATGATAAACAATGTACACTTAAAGCAACGGTGCAGTCAACTGAACCCACCATCAGTGTGTTGTATTATAGTTTAAGTACGAACGCAGCGTCTTCGCTTTATGGAGAAACGCGAGACTCACTCAAACGGGGTGTTGCGCCCTGCAACCTCAGAATCTCAGGCTTGAACACATGAAACAGCACGAGTATCACCGTTAAACCATTATAATCCACATGTGGCCGCCTCCATTAGCTCAAACACCGCATCATCAGGAGAAAACAGCTGAATGAACCAATGGGAAGAGCATCTGCCTACCGCCGCGAAATACAAACACTTCATATCTACATCTGACAGACAATATATCATCCAGCATTAAATACCAGGCACTAAGAAACAGAAATAAAATAAAAAGTGAAAATATTGCATGAAAATTAAATCCCACAATAAACAAACCAAACACCGAGAAGAAAAGATCTACTTTCCTATAACTTTCAGGTAAATATTGTCTCAACAGCACCTATGGCAGCTGACTAGCAGGTTAGCAGTACAAACAGAACTTAAAATAACTTACCTGAGCTTAAACGTCGTTATTTCACTCTCAGATCAAAAACAACGCACTGAGCTGCGTTAGCTTGCGTTTGCTTCACACTACGATAAAGATTCAGCAGCGCTAACGGTGTTGACCCGCTTCTCTAATCTTCTTCTTTTGGTTTTATGGCGGGTTGCGAACCCGCTTCTCTAATCACGCCTCAGGTGGCTATTTAAATAGCACGTCACGCACTTGAGCTTGAGAAACGACGTCATATCCGCCAAGTTCTACCTCATTACAACCTAAAAATAAACACGCAATTATTACCTTGTTTTACTTTTTGATAGCGCGTCAGTGCTATTTATTTATTTATTTATTTATAATAATTTGTTTATTCTAACATTTTTTATTTGATATACTATGACATTATATTTACTACTTCGAAAAATCTATTTTACAGTGCGTTAAAAATTTAAAGTTCTTAAATTACAATTGAATTCAATTTAAATGTATTACAAATTTAAATTTATTATTAAACTTAAAGACATCAATTTAATGCGGGTCTTGAAATTATTTACCTATAATTCATCATTTATTATTTCTATTTCTTTTCCTTATTTTAGCTGAATGTTATAATCATCACTGCACAACGACTCCCAGGGTCCATATTTTGCTTTTAGTGTTTGACAGTTTTAAATAAATAAAAATGTATATTTATATTCACTTGTACTAAATCACACTTATTAATGCAATTTAACTAATAGGTCACACAGTGGTTTTACAATGTATATTCTAATTATGTGATATTTGTATGACAAATCAAACTCATTGATAATCATTCTTGATATGACTAAATGTACACAGTGACACCTAATGGTTATAAAACAAAATATTGACAAAAGGAGGACATTTTTTATTGTTGGTATGGAAATACAATAATCAACTTTAAACATAGATATGTACTTTGTGATTGCGAAATGTCTTGTGCTTTTGAGTAAATGACAACATACTGACTCCGTTGTTGTTTTTATGGCATTTATTAGCCATTGAAGGTCACAAAAATATCACGTACATGAGATCAAGTCAAGACTATAGTTTTATCTCAATATTAACTTCTTGTTTATTGCACTGTTTGATATAATTAATATTACATTTCCAATCACGGAGATGTTCGGGAAAACAGCACTCTTGCTTGTGTGATATTGCGTAACTATTTCATATGTTATTAATATAAAAAGTTAAAAACCCGTCAAGGGGTTAATTTCTGACTTTGACAGTGTTATAAGTGCACTTTATGTTTTATGGTTATACAAAACATCACTTAAAAAAAACGCACAAAATACATAAAATGTATTTGTTTTTTATATTTAGGAGTTTGACTTTTTTTACTGCTAAAATTAACCATTGATAAACAATGTTTGTGGCAAATTTATCATGGATAAATATAAACTGAACACGACTGAACATTTTACGATGTTAAAAACAACAAAGTCTAACTGATGTTCCTACTAACAAATGGACACAATTTATACAAACATATTAACATATTTATTTAACAGTATATATTTTTTAATCAATCATCTTTAAAATGATCTGAGGTTATAATACAATAAAATATATTTTCATAATAGAAAACACTTAATGGTTTGTGTACAAATGTTTCTAAATATCAGTGAAACCTGAACCAAAAAGTGAAAATTCATCATTAAATTTAATATCGGTGCAAAGAGTGATTAAAGGTAAATACCAAAACAACAAGATGAACACTGTACTGATGGTCTGTACGTCATTAAGAAAACGAACCATTTCTGTTAATTACTTCACTGAGTGAAAACCAAGTCACGCCAACTACATGGATAAAAACTCCTCCTGAAATTAATTGAAGGGTTTGACGATTTTCATGGAAATGTAGTTCTGAAAAACAACAAACAAACAAAAAAAATTGATTAGTGTTGTACACCTTACATCTCAAGCGTAAAGTCTCAACAGGATTGATGAAGTGCATCCTTACGGGTAATGAATACAACAAGATCCCAATGAATAATAACACTAAGATTAGCACAACCAAGCCGATGAACAGCCACTTAAATCTTCGCCACACTATGAACTTGCACGTCTTGCATGGATTTGTAAACCAAAAAAACGAGGTTTCAGGTCGCCTGAGAAGTTGAAAAGAGAAACAAATCTTGTGATGATCTTCTGTTAACAAATAATACAGTGAAAATATATAACGTGAGAACACAATTACTTGGGAGGATCCAGTTTCGGATTCATATTGGGCTCATCTCTGCCTTTTCCGGCAGGTCTCTCATCCGCTTCCTTCTCATTCACAATCTCCAAAGTCAACTCAACCTTTCCCTGCAACCAACACATAAACAAGCCCTAATTAATCAAACTTGTAGAAAAAAAAGTCAAGATGAAATAACATTCATAACCCATTTTACCAAAATTGCATGCATTTGCAAGTGAAACATATTTAATGTAGAGAAGGTTTGACTGTATCTATCTGTTTGTATCATGAAAATCAAATGTCATACCGCACCATACAGAAATACATAAAAACTGGGGGGGAAAAAGACTGTGTTAGCTGTACTTACACCGAGTTCCCTCTTCCCATCTTTATCCATGTAGCATGGCCACCATCCTCTAACTGACTTCTGGTCAAAAAGAGACTTAAATTGGTCCGATTTTGGAGGTGTAGTTCCATCCGGCACCATGCTAAGGCTACATTTCTCCGGTGTTTTGGAAGGGTTGATGAGGTGCTGCAGATCAAGTTCAATAGCACCTGTAACATAAGTGAGATTAATACACAGACCCAAAAATATGACCACAACGAAACTTCCAAGATCTGCATACACACGTCTCACCTAGATAATCATCCAGAGAGAATTTGTCATTATCCCATATTTGAACAATCAGCTTGGGTGGGATTCTAAACTCTGATTTGTCGAGGCTCCAGAAATGTTCCTTTTTAACAGAAAGGAAAGAATATTTTAATACTTCCAAGTGCTCTTCATAATACGTTAAATGCAGCCAAACCACATTACCTTTTTAGATACAAGACACAGCTGCTCTGCAGGCAAGTATTCAAATCCAAAGACAAATCTCCAGTTGAAATTGCCTTCGCCATCCAAAGATCGGTAATGGACATCTGTTTTTTGCTTATCTTCTTCCATACCTGGCATCCAACTAATCAAAGGTATAAATACATGAATTACGACAAATATTACTTGTAAAACACATTGAGGCAAGACTCCACAAGTGAACAGTGTAAAAATGTAACTAATCAGTCAGGGAAATATGGTGATATCTATTAATCACATGAAATTAAAACAATTGTTTTGTATTACAGGTTTTTTGAAATTATGTGTTTAAATATGCAAATTATTTTATTAAATATGCACCAGAAATCTGAACATTGGATAACGCCAGATTCAAAATACTTGCTTCATTTTGATGTATTAGATGTTTTTACAGAGGTAAATTTAGATCTCTTTTTATTACTCTAAAATTCCTGTCAAAAGCTAGGGAAAAAAAATGTCCACCATGTTTCTAGGAATAAAATGTTATATAAATCAGGCAAATGACTTATAAACAAACTTTCAGAATACAGATAGAAATAAAACGGTAAAGTTTGGTGTATGTAAGTGCTACTGAAGTGGAGATTTCTGGCTCAGTGCCTGAGAAAAATTGTGAAAAAAATGGTCTTTAAAATATATGTACTGCTATTAAAATCTACAGATACAAATAGACAAAAAATATTTAAATGTATATTTGAGTTGTTTTCTTTCCACTAGTCTGAAAAAAGTCATGCTATGGAAGCAAAATAACAAAATCTCAAAATTAACCAACGGTTCTGCCTTAAGAGGCTTCAACCTTTTACATACCTCTTTACATAGATGTCACTCATATTTTCACTAGTAATGCTGGTTTCATCCAAAACTACGTCATACGTGTTCCAAACAATGACGCGCATAAAATACCTGATAGAAAGAATGAACGTGAGTTTATCACCATTCAACAGAAAAAGCATAACCAAAAAGTACCAATTTCTTCTCACTTTTTTGCTTTACGTGGAGATATGTCAAAAGGAGGTCCAGGAGGCCCAAGCCTTTTTGGGAAAATGTCAACCCACATCTGGAGTTTTCCCTATAAAACACACAGACTACTTAATAACATCATAAAGCAGTATTTTGAGCTTGTGTTCAAACAAAATAGAGTTCTGTATAGTACATCACAGAAAGAACAGGCCGGTGAGTAGCATCACACCTGTGGGAGAGTCGGTTGGAAGCTACTGTAAAGAGTTCTGGTTTCAACATGCTCTGGAACAAGGCCTTGAGCTCTGAGGACGTGAAGAGCGATCCGTTCACTTGGAGGACCCAGATGTTCGTGAATTTCCTTGTTTGCTTCTAAAATGCACACATATACATATATACACTACAGCACCAAGGTATAACGAGACAAGTTTGAATGTTGGCTTGACAAAGCATAGATAAAAAGTTTCAAATAAGCTTTTAAAAGTCATTAAGTTTCAAGGTTAATTTGGCAGTGTGTAATTTGGGTGGCTGTGAAGGGGTTGCTAGGTGGTTGCTAAGGTGCCTCAGGACAGGGGTTTTCAAATTAAGGAGCAGCAAAAACAAAACCAGCCCAATAGCTTCAAAACTAACCCCATCACGGGGTTTTTTTTTCCCCCATAATTTCCCCCTTCATCGAAATAACATTCTGGGAGAGTGGACTAAAAACAGGGTATCTGCAGGATTTTTAAAATCAAATTTAAGACTTTTTAAGACCTTTTTAACACCCTGCACAAATAAAAGTAATACCATATGAGCAGGGTAGAGCAATGTCTATGGTAACATACTAAACTGTAAAATGACTGTAAAAATCATGATTTACAGTTCAGATACAGGTTTTCACAAAAACAAAAACAAAAAAATTCACATTTCAGCCATTAAACCATATTTAAGAAAAGGGATGAGTCAAAAGTTTCAATTATATTAATTTAAACAATCACACTGCAAAAAAATGATGTACTTAGTGTTTTTTTCTTGTTTTCTAGTATAAATCTAACTCTAAACCTTCTTGAATCAGGATGCATTTACTTGAGAAGCAAAATGACTTGTTATTAAGTCTTTTTTTCTGAAAAAA